TTTGCTCGATATTCATTGTAGATCATCTACGTACAAAATTAAACGAATACCTTCTTGTGCACAAAAATATGAGACTTACATTTCACGATAAAATCCAAATACTGATAAAAAAAAACCAATGCAATCAGCTGATTCAGTCTTACTTTGACTTTTTTCTAGCTTATTGATCTTAAATTCATTTGATTCGCAAGAAATATTATGTTAAAAGAATTTGTAGAGGCTCTTTTGTGTTTTTTTTAAATTCAACCTTAACAACGACATATTATTTCTGAAACTGTAAGTGCACCGCGATTAACTTTGCATCAAATCTTTCGAAAAAATAAATAGTAGCCGTTCGGCTTAGCAGGCCTTAGCTAACCTGTCGATGAGCGTGTAATAACATTTTTTTATTCAAGAGTTCAAAAATTTAAAAAAGTTTGAGCTTGAAATTTTTTTCAAGAAAAAGTTTTACCGAGAATTTATTTGAAGTATTTGCCATACAGGCATACCCACTTTAAATTATAACATTTGTTCTAAAAAAATCAGCAGCATTTTCATCAATCAAAATCTTAGAAAAGCATTCAACTGTTACGTTAGTAATCATGTCAGTTTGACTTTGACTTGATTTAGTCTGCGAGCCGAAGCAAACATGAGGTAATTGTGGGCGAATTGTAAGTTTTTATTCAAATGTAAAGAGAAGGGGCAGGGTACAAAGATGGCTTTTTTTGCATTCGACCAACACATGATATTGTTTTTCCTTGTCAAAGAATGGATCGCAAAAAACGATTTGTTTGAATTGGAAAATAACTGCAAATGTTGCATTTGAAAGGAATTTTTGGAATGAGGAAGTTGGGTTCAATGTTTGAAATTATCAGGGGATTGCTCATACATTGCTTCAATCCTTGCTTTGTAGTTTTATACGAGTTGATAAAATAACACAGCCCGACAACTAACCTCATTAATAATTTCGTATTTCTATTGAAGTGTTTCGGTGCTTTTGAATATTTAAGTTAGTTTATAAACTTTTCCTCCTGTCAATTTTTTGGTTTTTGAGTCATTTTTTATCGGAACTCGAATTTGGTAGTTGACATGGTCACTCTTTGTCTATGCTTTAAAATTCAATCTTCCTCTTTTTTGTACAACTTGTTCATTTTTTAAGTAGCAGCTTGTGCGAATGTTTCAACCGACTCTAACTAAACATTTACCTTTCAAAAATATATCACAAAATTCATCAAACTGGTCAACATCTGTTTCCGATGAAAGTTTCATAAAATATCGATAGCGCCCAAAGAGCTTTTAGCAACCAAATATGGAACGTTGAATAATGACTCTTCCCAGTATACCAACCAGATCGTGCGTTCTTTAGTAGATATTTTTATGTGACATTTTTACGAGCGCTCTCTAATCATCATCTCAGGCATCATGAGTACTATAAAACAAGATACTATCACCTGTTGTTTTCCTGTTTTGACAAAAATGAGCCATACATTCCCTTTTTATCACAACTTTCATAATTTCTTACTTTTTTCTCATTTCTTTATAAAAATCAGTCACTATACTCTAACAAAAAATTTAAATTTTTTCTAGTTGTGAGTAGTCCTCTACAGATAATATCAGTGTCCGAGCGAGAAAGAACGATTATCTACCAAAAATACGCGCTCAAAACGCTTGCAGTCATCCAACAACAGAGAGAGAGAGCCTCTTCACCCAGAGAAAAATCGTTCAATGACTTAGCTCTCCGACAAAACAACGGCTATCAGTAGGAAGAATCGACTACAAGAACTCAAAAACTGATACCTAACTACCTCTCGGTCATATCAATCTACTTCGACATGATTCGAAACGATTATTCAAAAAATTGTTCTATGAACGATAGCTATCAGGCGTAAGTAAGGACAGGTAAACGACACAAAATAGCTCGAGCAGTCTCCCAGAAAAACTTCCGTAGCGAATGAGGGCGAGTCAATTCCATTGAATGAAAATCAGGAGATGTATTTGTGATTATGTAGAGCTTGAATCATCATGGAGTACTCGAACAGCAATGACTCTCTAGTCTTCTTTTTGGGAAGCAATTACAATTCCAGATCCAGAAAAATCAAAATCTAGTTCGGTTGATTGTATATCTACGACAGAGATTGCGGAAACAATTGATCTAGTGACTCCAAATATCATTCAAGGATCAGTCTGCTACGCCCCGAATAGAGGATAAAAGCAGAATCTAGAACTTAGAGAAAAATTATTGTTTTTTTTTAATCTCATTATTCTTCAGTTTTTTTTAAATTTTGATTTTACTTTGAAATTTAAATTATTTTTAGCTTATCTGTATATATCAATCTTGTCTCATATATTGTCTATCAGAGAATAAATCAATTAAAACTGGCTCTTCTCTGATTTCAGCAAACTTTAGTTTTAAAAAATGCAAGAAAAATTTTTTAAAAATCTTGAAGTTATCAAGAAAGTTATTCAGTTGAAATTTCCGTTGGAGAAAGAAATTTAAGAAAAAGTGAAAAAGAGATAAATGCGCTTGCTCATCGGTGGAATCAAATTGGAATATCGTCTTCAGATTATTGTTTTCTTTTGACAGGAAATATAAAAATGAAAGGTTCCAAAACTTTTGTCGCTAATTTGATGTCATAGCAAAGAGTTTTTTGAGCCTAAATTGTGCTTTTTTATTAAATTTACATACAAGTATGAAGTTTTTGCATGTCTCAGGTTTTCTCCAACCAAGAAATTTCCCAACTTAGGTATAACTATCAATTTTACGGTAAAAACGTAGAAAAATAGAAAGCAGTTTTTTTAGTTTCAAATTGGCCCTTAACCCTGCTCAGAAGACCATGGGAAAGTGATTGAGGGTGGTTTCAGTGGTTTTGGATGTTATATTTGTTTTTCCAAAAAATTATTGATTAATCTCAGAAAATTGCAACTTATTAAGAGTAGTCCACGCAACTTGATTGAGTTTTAAAAGTTTTTAAATTTCTTCTCTAACCCTAACTAGGCATAAAAATAGCATTTAAAATATGCATAACCCTAGTTCTGTATTAGTTTTTAAAAAATACTGATTGCTTTATGATAAAAAAGATGGAAAAACTTTTTTTTCTTCTAAAGTTTTGAACATGACCACTAGATTTTGGCTTAAGATTATTCAAAATTTACTGGAATTTTTTTTAATTATTATTTTTTTAAGATTAACAAAATTTTTCAGTTGATTTGGGGAAAAAAAGCTTATGGCTTTTAATTTTTTCGAACGGTAGCCGGGGTTCGCTAAATGAAACGACGTTGCCCCAATATTTCGAAGATCAAGAAATTAAATGTTTTAAAAACCTTGAATCAATTGGAAGAAAATTTGATTCTGAAATCCTTTAAGCAGATTCAATCTATGTTTACCGTCCACCTGCAACTATGATGGTATTTAACTTAGACAATCAAATTTTGATGTATTTTTATTAGTGTCTCAAAATTCAATCAATTCATATACCTGAGGCAAATTTTTCTCAACACTTTTATCTCATAGTTCTAATTTCTATTACGCGTAATCAAGTAAATTAAGAAATTGGCTTGAAATCATTAAAAATTAATTGATTCTCTGCTAAATAAATTCGAAAAAAATTAGGGCTCAATTTGAATCCTGATTCCTTATAAGATTTGAATTGTTTTTTTACTGCTCTAATTTGAAAGCTAAGCCAGTCCTTTAAAAAAGCTAGCCCCAAAACAAAAATATCGCTGCCCCTCAAAATTGATAGCAAGAATTTAACGCTGTATGTGAATCAAATTTTTAATAAAGACAAAACCCTTGCACTTGAACAAGATGATGAGTCAAGTCGGCCTCAAAGCTGTAGCAAACCCTGTGTTTGGAAACAAAAGTACTTGTTGTCAATTTCACGGCGAAAGGCAACTCTCGTTGATGGCTTCTACTTTTTGTTACTCGTGAAGCTCTTAGTTCTTGTTCCTAATCACTTCTCGTTTTTGCTTCTGGAAAACCAATTTTACTTCAATCATGAGTTTTTTTCTGAATTAACTAAAGCTTGTTGAATGAATTAACACATCGTTTCATTCAAAGATTAACAGAATGTTCTTGAATACATTTTACGTATTTTAATGGGGGGGGGGGGGGGGGGGTGGGGTTCTTTGCACTATTTCAAAGTTTCCATTTTTGGCTGACGGACCCTAATTGATTTCTAAGGGCGCCTTCGTTGCCAAAATACACAAAACTTGAGAGGGAAGCGCGCGCCGAAAAAACATAACGTTTTGGTTAAAATTTTCCAAAAAGTGCCCAAAAAGCCTTGTTTGGCCTGTTTTTCAAAATTTCGCCTGCTGCGCAGAAAATTAGGTCAAAATAGGGTCTTCATAGTAATTTGTGAAAGCTCGGAAAATCTGTTTGGTCGACCTAAATGAAAAGGCCATAAAACTTTTAACTCTTTTTGAAAATCCCCCCTTCGAAAAAATGCTAGATCCGTCCCTGACAGTGAAGGAATAATTATACCCTTATAAAAAAAACTTTTTCTCTTATTGTTTTACTGAAGCTATTTACGGAAAGTTTTTTCATATTTTTGTGGCTAAATGTAACGTCAATCCCAACTGCTCCCAAAAAAGCAGAAAATAGGTATAAATCAGACTAAAAGAAGGAAAAAAAATCAAAAAGTTTTTTTTCTTCCTATCTTCAGATTTGAAGAAAAAATCAAAAAATTTATTTTTGATTAACTCTTTTATAATACATTGATTATCGTGCGTGTGATATTTTTTGCTGCTTACATTACCAACACCTTCACTTGTTTTTCTAATGTGTTTTTGATATGGCTTCCCTGATAATACAAAAATTCATTGAATCCACATGTAAGCTGAGGGCGGAAAAGAAAGCCAAACAAGCAGCCTTACAACCTACGTTAGAATAAATGAGCTTTTTGCGTCATCATTCAAAAATTCAAAAACAGTCAGAATATAATGGATTTTTACCAATTATTTGTTTTCAAAAGTCTTGTCATTCTTTGCAGTGGTGGAGAGATGGTGTGTTGTTAATCATTTAAATAGAAAGAGTTCTCTTTGGTTGTTTTCATTTGTTTCATTGACTTTGAGGAGAGTGAAAAAGGTTTTAAAAGAACAGGAATGGGTTTTATGCCTACGTGAAAACCCATTGTGTGGGTGACATTTCAAATTTTTATTAACTCCGTCGACATAAAAGATTAATCAAAAGTCCCATATTTTCCCACTTCTTACAATTTTTCATCCGGTGAAATTTCAAACCTGTTCATTTATTACTAGCCTCATATATTTTCGGATACTAATCTAAGTATAATATTTTGGTCCATTTAGTGATTTTCCAATTTGATAGTTGATACTATTTTCTTTTTACGTCATTTGCGCATTTGTTCCTCAAAAAGCCGAAGTAATACTATTATTTTTTATCAACGTGAACCATAAATCCAATGTCGTGAACAGGAAATCACGGCAAGAAAAAAAGAATATTAACTCTAAGAAAACCTCAGAGAACAAAATTGGATAGCTCTATTTTTTATTTCGTTATTATTTTGTTTTCTTTTTATTGAACGCCACTATTACTTTTTCTTGCGTTGAACATATGATTACGTCGATAGTTTTGCGCCTCAATCTATACTAAATTAACTTTGAAATTTGAGAAAACGCATTAAATTGTCATTACGCAAAACTTTATTTATTGAAATTAAAAACTTTTATATTCTTCACTGATTGATTTACAATTTTGTTTAAGCCCTTCTAGCTAACTTTGAAAAACTCTTAAAAACTAGTAGGCATCATTTTTAGTAAGTCTAATTGCTTGAAACAAATTATGAATTTTAGATTCTCACTTGGAGTTTTTGAGAGTTGCCGTTTGCTTCTCACTGTGGTGTAGATAATTTGAACTATTCGGGACACGACAAAAAACGCTAACTCTTGAAGAAACAAAACATCTCAAATACATTTTTTGAAGAAAAAAAATGGAAAAAATCAGACTAAATCATCCAAAAACGGTAGAAATCCAGAAAAAAAGCTTTGTTATTTTTGTTTTTAATTACGATACTATGAATGGCAAATTCAAAGAATACTAACAAAATATGCTACAAAACCAAAATCAAATCATGATGTAGAAAAGCAAAACCAAAACTTGAAATATCGCAAATAAACTATGGGAACATCTGTGAATTTTTTTTCAAAGAAATGTCACGATAGCGTTGACATTTACAAGCAAAATCAAAATTTGAAATAGCTCTGTGAAATTTTTTTTTCCAAAAAATGTCCCGATACTTTTGAAATTTACAAAAGCAAAATCAAAACTTCAAACTTTTCTGTGATTATTTTTTCAAAAGAAATGTCTCAAATTTTTGAAATCTACAATAGCAAAATCAAAAGTTGAAATACTTCTGTGATTTTTTTTTCAAAAGAAATATCTCAATATTTTTGAAATCTACAATAGCAAAATCAAAAATTGAAATACTTCTGTGAGTTTTTTGTTCAAAAAAATGCTCTGATAGTTTTGAAATTTACAAAAGCGAAATCAAAATTCGAAAAATTTTTGTGGAAGTTTTTTTTCAAAAGAAATGTCCCGATAGTTTTGTTTTCAATTTTCGTAGCTCAACTAAGTATGCTTTTTGAAAAGTAGCACTTGTTGGCAAGCTCGTATCGCACATTTTTTAAACCTATTGTCATCTATTGAAATGCATGGCTATTAGGCTAATAAAAATCATCAAAAACTTCAAAGGAAAAACTGACAGTAAAAGTATTTTCACCAATCGCCATTTTTTTCAGAAAAACAGTAAACACTCCTTAGATTTTTTCTTTTTGATCATATTTTCTTTTTATAACTAAACATCAAAAAACTTTAAGTTTTAGTATTTAATGGATGCCATACAAATAAATATCAATAAATTGGATACCATAAAATAGTACCAAAGGGTGGACCCTTTGGTTAGCGAGAGAGTCGAATCCAAGAAAAAAAGGGCGTCCGCCACCCCCTCCCACCCCTGATTTAGTTAATGATTCAATTTTACTTACACTGAAAACAAAACATGTTTTACAACCCATCTCGTAAAAAATGGGGATGAACTTTGTATTCGGGTGTGTTTTAGTTTTTTCCTTTTGATTTGTTTGCCATGCAAAATCAGCTACCATACTTTAATCTTTGGAGACAGTTGAATGGTGTATTATATTAAGGATCTTGCAAATCAGATTCGACCGACAATAAAATATTTTAAGACATTTTTACCAGAGTCGAGAAAGACGGGTTCGAATATTTTTGTTTCTTCGTGTAAGTTTCAAGTAAATTTTTTTGTTTTTCGAGTAAATCTTTCAAAATCTGTTGTCCTGTTTGAATATGCCTAAAAATGCCTAAAATGTGGTCGAATATGCCTAAAATTTAGTTTTACGCTGATCCTTTTATAACACAGCGCAGAAAACTACACTTATTTGGAAACAAACCTTTTTCTTGTAGTTTTTCAAAAGTATAGTCTGAACATTCTGTGCTTCTTGCACAGTTACTAGCTATCCTTGTTTTGATCTTTAATTATAATTTGGAATAACAGTTTTTTGTCATTTTTTATTCTTGTTTTTTCAGTTGTTACAATGATGAGCTAGTATTTTTTTAATTGTTTTTTATCTGTTACGATTATTCTCGTAGAATAATTATTTAACAATTTTTTTAAAGAGTAATTAATTTAAAAAAAAAATCAAAAACGTCTTTTAAGTGAAATAACTATTTCAAACTGTTTAAGTTTCATTTACTCGTTGAGGTTGAGATGATTTTTTTCAAGTTGCATGTTTGAGTTTCATTTACTCGTTGAGATTGAGACAATTTTTTTCAAGTTGACTTGCTTGATGTTATAAGTTTTTAAGAATTGCATTAGACCTCGAACAAAATTTCAAAGGCAAAGTAAAATCTTGTAATTCCTACAACTTTAAGAAATTGAAGGATACTACGCTTATCGTTTGTATTTTTCTGACGAACTCGGTCTTAATTAAAGAATGCTTGTAGGTCTTAAAGATTGGTATCATACTACAGCTTTTCAGCTGTGAGTTTGATTGAAAAAAAAGCAAAAATGTTGTCTGAAAGTCGAAAACATATCTGGTCTGCCTTTTTCTTTTTTTCTTCTGGAAATTTGAAGAAACTGAAGTTGTGTATGCCCAGTTTATTTAATTAGTTTTTTTTCTGCGTTATCTCTTAAATTATATATAAAAAATAACGTCTAAGATAGCAAACGTCTACCCTTTTTTAAATATTAGAGCAAACGCAAAATTTATTTTGTAGACTAAAGCTTGCAGAAGCGTTACGTTTTCATTACCACTGTAGCAAGTCTTAGCTCCAAATTAGTATTGAATTAGAACTGGTAAAAATCGATTTAGTTTTCATGTTTTGATAATAATGCAATAAGCACATGTTTTTGAGGGTCAATCACACAAATGAACGGAGAGTAGGCTCTCGTGATTGCTGTGTGTCTTTATTTTTATCTAGTCGACTTTGTAGGATAATTATTCGGATATTCAGGATACCAAATTAACATTTTCTTCCCCTCCCCTCAGCCTCCTCGTCCCATATAGACCAAATTAAAATCTTCCACCCCAACATTTGATTTGGATTAAACTTGCTAAGCGCTGCATGTTTAATTTTCTATTCTGATTGGCTGAAAAATCCAATTTAGAAACAAGTTAAAAGCAGCCAACTTCAAATGTTTTTTTAAAGGGAGCGGAGGTTGTTTATTTGGTCTTTGGTCCCATTATGTTGTTAGTAATGTGAAGCAATTTCGTATTTTTAGAGAAATTTTTTTAATCTTGCAAAACTTGTTTTTCGCTGATTCTTCAGTAAAAAGCACTGATATTATCAGAAGAAGATAAAAAAATGCAAAATTAGAAATAACTTTAAGTTTTTCTAGCCTTAATTGACCATAACACTACAGCCAAGAAACTGCCATATATGGGTTAGAAAGTATCACTCAAGCTCCATTAGGAATTTTATTGCCCAATTTCCCGGAAAAGCTAGTCACTTTCTCAAATGGCTTTTAAAAAGCATTTTTCAATATAAAAGAGAAAACCTATCCATTGTAATATTCGGTGTCCTTCTTTTTGAAAATGTTCCCAGGTATTCAAAAACATCAATCTTTGAGCTTTTTATTAGATATGTTGTCATAGGAGCCATCATTTTGAACTAGTTCAGAGAATGATACAGTTTTTAAAGGAATGAATTCTATTAAAACGTTCCATATAAGGGTCAGATGAAAATCAATTATACATTTCTCTTTGCAATATTTTAAAAACTAAATCAGCTTCAAAACGTCTTTTACCATGCGAATTGAATAAATTTCAATAGAAGCTGATCAGAAAAAGCAAGCAAGCAAAAGCATACATTATTTTAAGATAGAAATAGAAACAAGACTGCTTGTATCAGGGCTTGTATCAGGCGAAGCCCTGAATGTTCCGACTGCCTTTTAAGGTCTATGGAGCAGTGTTAATATGAAATTTCAAATATAATAAAATAAAACTAAAAAAAAGTTTTTAAAAAAATGAGAGAGATTGTTTTTGTAAAAACATCCCCCCACACGTCATATTAAGTATAAAGTGATAAATTTTGCTCCTATTAACAAATCAAAAATGGCACATAAGCTTCCTTGAACAAATTTGGAACGACTTATAAGACGGATAAAATCTCGCTTACGCGTTAATAGCGCGAAATATAAATCGCGCGTTAATTGTCCCAAAAATGGCAATCTTTAAACCCCCACAATTTTACGAAAAATGATCACAAAGGAAATTACTTTTCGAATATAAACTCAAGACAGCAATAGCTTTCGAATGATATATAAAAAAATTCCGTCAAAAAAGGCTAGTTAAAAAGTCACAATTTGTGTGAAGAAAAAACCAACCTCGAGCACAAATATTCCGTTACTTTCGTTACGATAGTCGGAACAACAAGACTGCTCATATTAGGGCTAAGCCTGAACGTTGAAGCCTGAACGCCGACCGGTGCTTAAAGTGTATGGAGTATCGTTCGTTTTAGAAAAAAAAGAGGACTTTGCAAAAGAAAAGAAAGAAGAGTTTTTTCAAATCATCCCCCACATGCTGTGAACATAAGTACGTATACAGTGCTGATTTAAATTAACCGGACAAAACGAGCTAAACTTCAAATTTAAAATGCGTTTTTCTCAATTTGGGTTGAGTTTAGGTGAAAACTTATGAAGACAAAACTTGATTAAAACTTTAGCAGGATTAATATGGTGTAATTTGTTTTGCGAAACTCGGGCCCATAACGTTACCCCAAAAATGGGTCATTTTGGCTTTTCTTAGTTAATAAAAAATTACGCCAAAAATTACCGAGTCGATCACAGACATAATTATATCAAAGTGAGCTCCTTACGTAGCCCAACAAACTTTAAGAAGGGTATAATCTCCAAAAAAAATGCAAATCAATTAAAAAATGTTTTTAAATAAATAGTTGGTATTTTTTATAGTAAAAACGACCTTTTTTGTCTATCAAACAAAAATAAATTAACTTATACAATGTTTTGGAGAAAATATCATTCTTACAGTTTGTTGGGCTACGTAAGGAGCTCACTTTGATATAATTATGTCTGTGATCGACTCCATATTTTTTGGTGTAATTTTTGATTAACTAAGAAAAGCCAAAATGACCCATTTTTGGGGTCGAATTTTGGACCCGAATTTTGCAAAACAAATTACACCATATTAATTCTGCTAAAATTTTAAGCAAGTTTTGTCAACATAAGTTTTCACCTAAACTCAACCCAATTTGATAAAAACGCGTTTTAAATTTCAAGTTTAACGCGTTTTGTCCGGTTAATTTAAATCAGCACTGTATATAAGTATACCAGTACGTATATAAAAAGTTCAATTGATCAAACAATATGCCTCAATTCTTTTACAACTACTCGCGTTAATTATTCGAAATAGTTCGAAACATATTGCGCGTTAATTATCCCAAATAGGTCAAAGTGGCAATCTTTAAACCCCATAATGTTACGAAACAAAAAGCGGAAAAAAGCAAAATATCTTTTTAAAATTGAACTCAGGACAGCAATACTTATTGGCTGATATAAAAATGTTGGTCAAAAACTGCTAGTTGAAAAACTAAAGTTTGTCTGGGGGAAAAATGCTCGAGCACTAATACTCCTTCATTTTTTTCGAAAGTTGGAACAAAAAATTTATCGGAGAGCGAACGCGTAGGAGTTCTAAAAATAGTGTTACAACCAAAACCTTGCGTTGGTAATATGAGGTCCAATTTGCTTAGTTTTTGCTCATATTATTCCGACTTCCGAAGAAAGTGGCGGAAGATTTGTGATATGGTTGTTTTTTTTCTGTCTCCAGAAAAACTTCGACTTTTTAACTGGCCACATTTGACTGAATTTGTTTTTACGTCATCCAAAAAATATTGTTACTAAATTTGAAAAAATTTTCACATGTAATTTTTTTCGTTTTGTTAAGCGGGGTTCAAAGATTGCCAATATGGCCAACTTGAGACAACTAAAGCGCGATACATTTCGCATTATTAACGCGAAAAAAAAAGAACTTTAGCCCGTCTAAAAAAATTGTTCCGAATTAATTGAGGGAAGATAGTTGTCAAATTTGTTACGCTACTAAAAGCAAAATCTATCATGTTGTACTTTTATAGGGCGTGTGAAGGGTGATAAATTTCAAAAAAATCTGGAAAATTGTTTAAATGTTTTTTCTGTGTTTTGAAAAATTCATCAATTTCTTGAAGCGAACAATACTCCATAGACCTTAACACGCAGTCGGATTATTCAAGGTTTCGCCCTGATACGAGCAGATCTGTTTTCATATTGACTTCAAAAAGAGCAACAGTATAAAGAGGTCTTCTGCTTAATGGTGAATCGAAACACCGAAAAGAATTGAAACAGCTTTGATCATCAGCTTTGAATCTTGGCCATAGTTTCATTGTTGAAATTTTTTTTTGAAGTTATGAATTTACCAAGCCTATGAAATAGCAACCCCTTTTTTTGTAATTTTGAAGTTTTGCTTTTTCGTTAACACCTTTTCTAATAACTCAACGCCTACGATATTTTTTTTTTCATTTCCTGCTTAGGTTATTTGCATCCTGGCAAACAAGCAACATAAAAAAGAAAAAAGAAAATTGATTTTTGCCTAATTAAAAAAAAATAATGCAATGAAAAAATGTGGGCGCGATTTTGAGTTTTCACTACGATCGTTAAAACAAAGTCAAGTTGTTTTTGCCGTTATCGCCGAAGTTATCTGCAAATTATTCATTGTAAATATACCTGTTATTTAAGTCGAGATATCTGAAATTTTAAAAACCAATTGATTCAAAATTGCTTTTCATGAAACAATCAAAATTTTGATTACCTGAAGTAATTTTAAAGTAATCAATTGGATTTAACGTTTGCTTTCCAATTTACCGTAATTGGATTTAACCGTAGTTCCTAGAAGTACTAAATTATGTCCGCTTTTTTATTATTAGCCGAACTATAAAATCATTTATCATTCAACCCAGCGTTTGCTTTAAAATTAAAAATGGAGCTGCTAGAATTAGAAAAAATTCAAGAACTGAAGGACGAAATTTAAGCATTAATAAAAAACAGGCGCGTTCTGACACATTTTCCCCCATTTTGACCAATAAATTAGGGTCTATTTTTTTCAAAAATCTATTTTAATCACGCTCGGTGTGTTTTTCCACTGTTGGTTCATTTTTCAGTCTATAAAAAGAAAAACTAAAAAAAACGATTTGAAAGGAAGAAAAAAAACAGAGGAAGAGCAAATAAAATGAAAATAATGTCTACTGTATTACGCAGGTTTCCATATCGTCTATAATTCCTATTTATATTCTCATTATCTCTTTTTATCTCATTTTATTCCTGGGATAACTTTGATGTAGTTATTCAATCTTAGCTCAAAGTTTAGAACTAGATTAAACTAAATTTATTTTCACCAACTAGAGATTTACTTTTTCATTAATTTTGGCGGATTTCAATTTCATAACAGATCTTTTTCAAATTGCAAATTATAGATTTTATTAATCAAAGTTTGGTCACCTTGTTATCAAATCGAATTATTATTATTTTTGAAAACTGACCGCTGAAAATGGTGAAGAATAACGAGAAATGGACGATTTTGGGAAGTCCAAAATTTACAAAATCTTCAAAGAATCAGCAAAAACCGAACGCTCTTCTGGAGAAAACATTACGACCTCTTCAAAGTAAATCGAATTTCACCTCAAACAATTCTTGGGACACCTTCAAAGAGTCATTGAAAGAAAGGAAGCTTGAATTGATATACAATTTTCCCGGAAAAATTCGCCTAGACCAGCACGGTAAAGCCAGTCTTTTTCCATACTCAATGCGACTCGAAACTGAAGATGAAAAAACAGAAGACAGTTTTCCAGTCGGCGGGAATTCAACAGAGGAGCAAAAACCGGCTGACTTTTTGTCTGTTTCCAAAAAGCATCAAGACCTGGGCGTTCGATCTAGAGCAAACTTGCCAAATAGGTCGTTTGATTGTAAGTAGCGATCAAAACAGTGCACATCATCCATCGAAATCATTCAAAAGTTTTCTCAATCGAACACAATTCAAACCTTATTCTCGGTCAAGCACAGTCTAGTTGTTTTTTCTCGGTCGAAATGCCTTTGTGGCCTTCTCAGTTGAACTCATGGTTACAAGTTAAGTCGCAAAAAAAAACGTCTGCGCAAAATTGCAATATATAACTTTGGGTCGCAATAACAATATACCTGTTTTGTTTGGGATGGTCGCAACGTAAGTCACGAACCTCGGCCCGGGGTGTAAGGATATCGTTCTGAGGACAGCAACTAGCGCACTTCACATAAAAATGTTTTTCGAGGAGTGATAAAAAGTTCGGGTAGCGACATAAAATATTTCTGTGAAAGCATTTTTTTTGTCCTGATCACTGCTAGCAAGTGGGCTGGAATTTCGTATAGGGTAAGATTTTCCACCTGCAAAGTCAATTATAACAAAAAAACCTGGATGGGGTGTAGTGATATACTATATTAAAGCCCCCTCAATCGTGGCTCAATGGATAGTTTAAAAAACTTCAAACTGATATTTCGGGTCGAAACTTTTTGACAAACAAAGAGAAAATTCGCTCTTGTTATCGACTCTTTTCACATGGCTCTGAAGTTTTGGGAAAAAATTAAAAATATAACCTAAAAATGGTATTGAAACCATTAATGGTTTTCGCTTTGCAAGCTTTGAAATTTTGGGTCTAACTTTTTTTTCATGCAAAAGTAATTGTTTGGTCTTTCGTGTGAGTGTTTTGGATCTTTTCAATTTCTTAAAAGTAACCAGGCTTAATCTGAAATTCTATTGATAAAATTTTTCGTCTAGTAAGGCAATATTCTCGTATAGTAAGACAATTCTTGCCTAGTAACGTAATGAAAAAACCAACATGACTTCTCGTATCATGGTGAAGCCCTGAACGTTCCGACTGCACTTAAAAGCTTATGGAGTTACTGCTTATGCTGAAAAAATGAATGAAATTTTCAAAAATAAAGACAAAATGATTCAAAATTTTTTCATTTTATTTTGAAAATCACCCTTCCTGTGCAATTCAAAGTACAGTCTGATGAAAGTTGTAAATAGTTCAAAACAACCATATATTTTGAATCATATAAAAACCATTTTGTCAAAAAATGCTAATTAAAAAACTAAATATGTCTGCACAAAACAACACCCCGTGCACAAAACTGAAAAGTGGGAAAAAACAGCTTACGAGGCCAAACTGTGTAGTTTGTGACTTGTTTCCGCAACGAGGACTTTCTCTTTGTTTTTTTTGTTCTTTCTTTTTCTTTGATTGTTCCGGCAAAATGTTTACATTTTCAAAGATTTCACTCTGGATTCCAGAGACCTACATATACCAAATTTTGCGACTATCCAGTGCACCGTTTGGCCTCATAATGAGATGTTGTTAAAATTTTTGGGGTTTAACTAGCCGCTTACTTATTGAAAGAACAAGATCGCGC